TTTCTTCACACCTAAGTTAACTGAACCTGTTTTACCAGAGGTCTTAACGCTGTAAATCCATTCAGTGGGGCTGACTCACTGTATGTGCCGAACGCGCGTTGCTCCAACGAGGTCAGGGACTCTGTACGGGGGAGGACAGTGTCTCGGGGAGAGGCTGCAGAGGACGCAGCCTCTGTTTTCTAGGTCTGTGCTCTGTCATCGTCTTGTTAAAATCTGCCCAGTGAGAGAGGAGTAACCGTGCTGCCTGCCGAGGTGCTTTCTCACGGGGTGATGAACTGGCTTTTAAGATGTTCTTTGTCTTGGGAGATTTTTTTCAGGGCTGCTGACAGGGAAGAAGCAACAAATGTCAAAGAAGGAAAAACACTTTGATCTCATCTATGTTGCTTTAGTACTTATTACATGTTGGTTATTGTAAGGATGCATTAATGCGATTGCATAAAGTAATGAAGAACTATACACAGCTGGCCCTAGCTGGCATTTTGTGGATGATAGCGTTGGACAGCCAGTTTCCGCTCCTCTGGTAATAAAGGAAAAATGCAGATCCCACTGGCCCCAAAGCACAGCTTCCTCCTAGCTAAGCATCCCGTAAGGTCTCTGCGATCCTGGGAATGCCGTACTTGTTTATAGTTAATGGCAGGTCAGAGATGCTTCTGCTTACATGGTAGAAAGGGGCTGCCACAGTGATTCTTTACATCTGTCCTAGACAACTGAAAGCGTAGATAGGACTTGACTTCTGACAAATCGCCCCCCATTAGATGAGCCAGAGCCTGTACTACAAATAACCTCACTCCACGTAACTGGAGATAGACTTGGTATACCTTGGCTATCATCTGTGCTGTCGGATCAAGCACTCACCTGCCATAAACCTCCTATAAGTTTCATCTATAAAATTGCTCCTACTGTTATTGAGATCCCAAAACCAATTGGCTGGGATGAGTTCTCTTAAAAGTGTCTCCAAAAAGTGGCATTGCTTTGGAAAGCAAATTGGAACAGCTTTGGCATCCAGTGGCTTCTCAGTAACTCGCTCTAGTTCTTACCACGAGCAGATGGAGCCCGTGGGACGCCGAGCTGCAGGGCCAGCTGTGGGCTGGATGTCGGTAAGGGACAGGGCGCAGACGGGAGAGCGGCAGTTCCTCACCCAGCGCTGCGGTGCTTTGGTTTACTCCGTGTGGCCATACCCTCCTCGGGGGAGTATTGCTAGGGGTTTAATCTCAGCGGAACATGGACATAACCCATCTAGCTTTCATAACTGACCCAGCTCAGTGGCTCCAGCAGGTTTTGCGTAGCGCCGTGTGATTCAGTACCACCTCAAACTCCGCTAGAAAATCAGCTAACCTAGAGCAAGCTCTTTGCTGCCAGAACTGCAGTGCTTTCCAGTACTGAAGCCAGCTAGTTCAGTGCTTGCTTTTAAGTATATCCTATAAAACACCTAAACACGTCGGCACCTGTGAAGCTAGGCATTGCTGTGGGTTTGTTACATTTGTTTTAGCAGTATTAGGCTAATCTTCAACATCTGTTCTGGCATCCTGTTGAATCCACAGCTGGGACTCCTTAAAAACTAATGGAACTTCTATGAACAGTATTGCCTACATTCTTTTGGCTATAACCCTACATAAAAGAAATGCTTCACAGGTATCTTCCATACCAGCCTTTGTATGATCAGGTCCTGAGGGGCTGAGTGAGCAACCAGAATGCTTGGAAAGGTGTATTGGGTTTGCGTGGCAAGGTTTTGGTAGCGGGGGGCTACAGGGGTGGCTTCTGTGAGAAGCTGCTAGAAGCTCCCCCCATGTCCAACAGAGCCAATGCCGGCCGGCTCCAAGACAGACCCGCTGCTGGCCAAGGCCGAGCCCATCAGCGACGGTGGTAGTTGCCTCCGAGATAACATAT